TTTTCTGGAGGCAGAATGATGAGCACACTGCTTTATGTCAAGAATTGTACTGAGTATACATTGATAAATAACAGGCAGAATGCCTACCCTTGGGGAACCTATGGTCTAACATGCTCTTAGAACAACACTAAGCCATGCCTTTGGGAGATGCCCATGTTTCAATGATCTACTATAATGTTCTAGAAAAATAATTCAGAAAATAGTGATGTTTTACATAAAAGAAATACAATATTACAATCCTTAAAGTACAACATTAAAAATTAATAAAGAAGCCTAATAAGCTAGTTGTTCATTTTTCCATTCCATTTAATTTACCAGTTATTCATATTCATTGTCAAGTAAGCGGAAACAGGTTCCAAAAAGTAACATAAACTCATAGAGAGCAAGCTTTCAGTTGAGAGAACTGAATCCATTTTTCTGTGACTAAGAATTGACCATCACAGTTTGATTTCAGTGGAAAAAATATCACAATGCTCCATAAATACCAGGTTTCTTTTTAAAGGCCAGGGTTATAGGTGAAGATACATACTCTTGTTAAAAGGTGGCACCTACTGGCAGGATAATGTATTGCAGCTCAGTTCTATTAGACATTAGTGAACATACAAAAGGAATCACAATAAACAACAGTGATAGTTTGGGAGATTTTTGTTCCCCAACATCCTATTGGGTGCACTACTTAATTTTTAGAGACTTCAAATTCTACTATGAAAGATAAAACAGACAGATCCTCTCCCTAAATTTGGGCTCAGTCAATTAGGATGACCAGTGATGTTGAATATTAAGTAAAAGATCCCAGAAAGAAGGGATGGGTATGTTAGGATGCAGCAATGGCAGAACCTGAAGTAGTGTCTGGGTCTAACAGCAGCAATAGAAGGTCCTGATCAGTTTATTTATGATGGCTGGCCTTCCCTAGTTCCTGCCAATTTTCAGCATCTGCTTTTCCAAACATCCTGCAAATTCTTCACACTATCCAATATTCTAGATCTGGGAATGTAGCTCAATTGGATCACTTGCCTATCAGGCATGAGGCCCCAGGTTTGACGCCCAAGCACCAAAGGATTTTTAAAAAGATAAAGAAAAAGCAACAACAATTCAACATTTTTTCCAATTGTGCTAAATCACAAAGATACATTATCTCATTTGGTCCTTCTGCCCCTGCCCCACCCCCCCCCAAAAAAAAAAACCCTAGGAGGAAAGAACAGAGAAGGAAATGAGTCAGAAAGACTCACTTGCCAGAGTCACACAACTAGTGTGGAAGAATTGGGGAAAAAAATCCGAGTCTGATGCTAGAACTAATTTTCTTAAGCATTTCACTACTTTGCAAAGCAAAAAATGCTGAGACTTTTGAAAGCATAAAATTGGAAGATAAGACTTGACCTAGGTAGGAAGTTTGTGGGAAGATGTAGCTGGTAAGTTGCAGAAAGAAATCCTGCAAGAATGATGGAAATGAAATACTGAGATGAGACTGGAGGTAATTTTATCATGAAATTAATGAAACGTAAGTGCTCTTCACTTGCAAGGGCCCTGTTCCAAAGTATTAAATTTTATTTTTTTTATAAATGCATATTCATTTTCTCAAGGAAATCCCCAAAATGAGATAAGAGTCAGATTCCATAAAACCTGAATCAATCCCTGGTTGAATTCATGAATCTATCAGATTAGAGATTCAAAATCTAGATCAATAGAGACTAGATCTAGAGACTCAATTTCAGATTTGGAGATCAAGTGAGGGGTCTATACTTAGAGAGCTAGGCTATAGAACATGGCTAAAAGCACAAACAACCCTGAAGGCCATGCCCACTTTCCCAAGCTCTATGGAAAAAGGGGGAGTTAGGAGTTATTTCTCACCTGTCCAGACAGAGATCAATGCACACGGGTGGTGTTTTAAGAATGCACAGGTCCCCACATCCATCTCATCCAACAAGAGGAACAACAGAACATCTTGCACCTTGAAGGTACAACAGCAGCAGCAAGCTGTGGGTGTGGGTCCTCCTCTCTCAGGCCCAGTCATCAGGCCCTCAGAGAACCAGCTGGATGTGGCCCTGACTCTAAGGAAGCTAAACAGACAAGCAAGCCTCATCCAGGAGACTAGAAGGATTCTACCTTGATTTAATAAACTGATATTTTGTTTATAATTAATTTTGGTTGCACAACAATAATATTTATCTTGAGTGCAAAAATTTGGGCACACACTTCTATTTGTACCTTAGGTGAGTGTCTCACCTCTTACCCTCATCCTGGCCCTTATTAAGTGTATAGAGAATCACCAGGCATGCAAAAGCTTAGGTTTTTCCCTCCAGATAACAAAAACTCATCATTTACCTACAGAGCCACACATCAGTTAATGCTAGGGATACCTTATCAGAAATTCCTCATTAGCCAATTTCATCAATATGAGAACATCATAGAGTATACCAACTTCAGGGTTGTTTATGCTTTCACCAACTAAGATGGCTACTATGTCACCAGGCAATAAAATCTTATGGGACCATTGTTGCACATGTGGTCCAATCAGAATGAGGTTATTCAGTGAGTGATTATATTTCCCACATAGCACTTAAGTTTGTGTGTATCAGCCATCTATTTTTTTTCAGTCTAGAATGTTCTAAGTTTCTTTTTTTCTCCTTTGCTTGGTTATTATTTCTGTTGTATATATGGGGTAAAATGTGATATTTCAGTACATGTATATAATATATATTGGTTGAATCAGGATAATTAATGATGCCTTGCCTAATCATTCCTTTGTGTTTGGTGCCTTCAAGCTCTTCTCTTCTTCATAAAATACACAATAAATTATTGTGAACTGTAGTCATCACACTGTGCTGTAAAACACTAGCCCTTATTAATTTTTTTCTACATTTTTATTGGTGCATTACAGTAATGCATATTGATGGGATTTGTTGTTACATATTCATACATGCACACAATATAACAATATAATTTGGCCAGTATCACTCCCTAGAACTTCCCCCCTAACTCCCCACCTCCCACTTCTTGGTCCCTTTCCCCTACTGATCTCCCTTTAATTTTTAGGAGATCCACCCCCACCATTCTTGTTTTTCCTCTCTAGCTTCCACATATAAGAGAAAACATACGAACTTCGGCCTCCTGAGTTGGACTTATTTCACTTAACATGATAGTTTCTAGTTCCATCCATTTTCCTGCGAATGACATCATTTCATTTTTCATTATGGTGAATAAAACTCCATCATGTATATATACCACATTTTCTTTATCCATTCATCATTGATGACACCCAAGTGGGTTTCATAGTTTGCTTATTGTGAATCGTGTTGCTACAAACATGGGTATGCATGTATCACTGTAGTATGCTGACTTTAATTCTTTAAGACAAATACTGAGGAGTGGTATAGCTAAGTCATATGGTTGTTCCATTCTTTGTCTTTTGAGGAACCTCCGTACTGATTTCCATAGCGGTTGCACTAATTTACAATTCCACCAACAGTGTAAAAGTGTTCCTTTTTCTCCACATTCTCTCCAGCATTTATTATTATTTGTATTCTTAATATTGGTCACTCTGACTGGTATGAGATGAAATCTTAGTGTACTTTTGATTTGCTTTTCCTAATTGCTGATGATGTTAAACTTTTTATATATTTGTTGGCCATTTACTTTTCTTCTTTTAAGAAGGGTCTGTTTAATTCATTTGCCCATTTATTAACTGGGTTATTTGATTTTTGGTGTAAAGTTTTTTGAGCTCTTTATATATTCTAGATATTAATCCTGTCAAAAGAGTAATTAGCAAAGATTTTCTCCTGTTCTGTGGGATCTCTCTTCACATTCCTAATTGTTTCCTTTGCTGTAAAGAAGCTTTTTAATTTGATGTTGTCCCATTTATTAACTCTTGGCATTATTTCCCAAGCTTTAGGGGTTAGACCTTATTAATTTTATCTAACCATGTTTGGGCACCATTATTCAACCCCCACCTTTCCTAGTCTCTAGTAATCACTATTATACAGTCCAACCTGATATTTCTTAACACCTACATATGAAAAACACTATGCAGTATTTGCCTCTTATTTCAGTTCACATAATGTCCTCCAGTTTCATTCATTTTGCTGCAAATCACAGGATATCATCATTTTTATGCATCATCCATCTTTACATCTAAGTTTTATGAACCTTTATTGCTTTAAGTGAGAGTCAAAGAAATCAAATCTCGTTACAAAGTTGTATTTTCTTGCAAAGGTCTTGGCTCTAGGGAGGATTGACCTACTAAGATAGGCAAGCTTTTAGGCCATTGGGTCTTCACCCTGGCTGCACATTAAATCATTTGGGGAGCTTATTTATTTATTTTAAAATACCAGTGTCAGAGTCCTACCTCCAGAGAGTCTGACTTGGTGGCCTAAATTGATAGATATCCAGACAGGATTTTTTAGAGTTTTATTGAGATAATTTGCATACTGCAAGTTTCACCCATTAGTAAATTTAATTATTTTTAGTAAAAGTTCACCCCTACAATTCTGTTAATTCTGTTCAGTGCACAGCCTACCCTTCACCAAAAAGTCCCCCAGAGGCAGTGTCTGGTCAGCCTTCTTTCCCACCCCAGCCACAACACCATATCCACTTCTAGTGTCTGCATTTCAAGCACTGGTATTTTTAAAAAGCTTCCCAGTGATTCTAACATTCAAGCACAGCTAAGAACTATCCTTCTAGACTACAGAAAGTTAAATTCCTTAATCCTGCCTTACAAAATTTAAGAATTTTTCTGTGAGAATTTTCCCTATGGGGAAATACAACCCTAATTTCACATCAGAAAGTCTTGGGGAAATAGAATAAGTTTTATGACAAATAGCCTGCAGTCAACTTGACTGAAATACCATTAAAGTGAAAGATGCCTCTACACATATCCACACCCCTGATAAGTATGAAATGCCACATTTCTAAACAGCCCAGGATACAGAGTATTTTTGTTCTATGATAAAATTAAAAGCCTGAGGTTCTGTCTTCAAAGTCATATTCATTGCCTTAAAGAAGGAGTACTCGCTTCGACAACACATATATTAAAATTGGAACGACACAGAAAAGATTAACATGGCCCTGTGCAAGGATAACATGCAAATTCATGAAGCAGTTCATATTTAAAAATAAAAAAAAAATGAACAAAGGAACATTTAACTCCAACTGATAAATCATCAGGATTACAAAACTACTATCCTTAGGTGTTCAAAATTTCCTCAAGGGAAAGATTCTAGAGAAATACAAAGTATCTTTATTATTATGTTACACAAACATGGATGTGATAACACACTAGTGCAGAAAAAAAAAATCCTAGAAAAAACAACCACTGACAGGTTTTCATATAGAGTTGATGTCCTTCTGTCATTTTAGGCATGCAGGGCAAGCAAGCACTTGTAAGAGGGTGAGCCTGGGGAGCAGGAATAAACTTGAAAGATTCCACAGAAATGCCAGCCCCAGAGGTCTAGAAACATGTGAGCAAACCTCAGCCAGAGGCTGCTGGTGAGTCCGTGCTAGCACAAGCCACCTTCTGCCTTCATTGGCCAGAAGGGCCAACCGCAGACAGCAGCAGCCATCACCACAGTCAGTGCCTGGGAAAAGTTATGGGGTGCAATTGGAACATGACCCCACCCAGACCACTCCCTAAAATTGCAAAGCTTTAAAACAGTGCCCCAGCCAAGGAGGTGCTATCTCAGGTTAGGATACAAGATCTCTAGCAAAAAAAGTTACCTGGACTCAACAGAAAAGCTTCCAAGCAAAGTAGCCCTTAACAGTAGTCAAAGAAAATGTGGATTTTAGCCAAGCGAATGGACCAAAGCCATCCAAGTTTGAAATGCCCAACATTTCCAAAGATAGTACACAAATATTAAGCTACCTCCTCCTCTGATTACCAATTAATAGCTTTTCTAAACTCTTAGTTCATAGGAAAATTTCAACAATTTTGGAAAAAAAAAATCACCTGAGAAGATTGAATACATGGTACAGCCTATCGTCTCCCACTGTCAATCATTAAAAATGACAAGTAATCATTTTAAATAATTAAATCAGAAATAGTGAAGGTGACAAAGAAAGGCAGCCTTGGGGGTCAGAAATGACGAGCCATCCCTGAAAAACACCATACAGAAGGAATCAGATTCATGAGCCCAAAACATACACAGGAAAGGACAGTATATACTAGCATGTTTTCCAGGGGTTCCAAATTAGACAAGGAAACTATGTGGGGCCCTTGCTGCCAGAAGGTTCTGGGCCAACAGAGCTGGTTGGGCCATCGCAGTAGGAGTAGCCAAGCAGACGGTCACACACACACACACACACACGTACGTGCTCCCACACACGTCAAGCAGTAGGAACGACAAGGTACAGAGGCAACCACACCCAGCATTTGGACCAGAAACACACGACAGTGCTTCTAATAGTTGGCCTCACCCAGGAGGAATGGAAGCATCTTAGCCAGAAGACTCCACTGACTCACTGCCCAGCCCTATATGCTACTCCTGCCCTACCACCCGAGGTATCGCATTCTCAGACACACTTTCTGGGCCTCTCACATCAGAAATAAGTACAGTCACAAACCACCAAACATTTAGAGAAAACTCTTACTATGACAGAGTGACACTCAGTTACTACTAAGACAAGAGCACCCTCAAAATAGAAGTCAGCCGGGTACAGGGGGCTGAGGTAGGAGGATTGAGGCAGTCTCAGAAACTTGGCAAAACCCAATTTCAACATAAACTTTAAAAAGTGGGCTGGGGTTGTAGCTCAGTGGTAAAGTGCCCCTGGGTTAATCCCAGTACCACGAAAGAAAGTCATTACAGACCCATTTAATGGACTAACTAGCAGAAGTGACACAGACGAAGAGATATTTAGAAAGCTGATAGGTGGGGTAGAGAAGTTCTCCCAGAAGGAGAATAAAGATATTAAAAGCATGAAAGAAACAGAAGGCATATCCAGAAGAAAGAATGTGAGAGAAAAGATAAAAAGAAAATTTCCCAGAGCTAAGGAAGAACTCATGCTCTTGGAACAAAAGGACCAACCTGGATATGTTATGGTGAAATTTTATAATACCTAAAAACTAAATGCCTAAAGTGAACAAAAATCAAATTAACATCTGACTTCTTGTTGATAAAACTAAATTCTAAAAGCAATGGAAGCCGGGCGTGGTTGTGCACGCCTAGAATCCCAGCAGCTCCGGAGGATAAGGCAGGAGAATTGTGAGTTCAAAGTCAGCCTCAGCAACTTAGGCCTAAGCAACTTAAAGTATAGCTTGTCTCTAAATAAAATATTAAAAAGGGCTGGGGATGTGGCTCAGTGGTTAAGAGCCTTTAGGTTCAATCCCCCATACCAAAAAAAAAAAAAAGCAATGGAGAGGATAAAATATGTGCAAATCTTTCATCTGATAAAGGGTTAACAGCTAGAATATATAAAGAAGTATACTCAAAAAAAAAAACCCATTCAAATATGAGCAAAAAATTTGAATAACATTTCTCCAAAAAGCTGGAAATGTGGCCCAGTGGCATCAGGGGAAACACAAAACAGGAACCTGGGAAAATCCCCTCCCTCCTCCATGAAAGCAATGAGAAAACTGACAAAAAAAATAAATGTCAAAATCAACTTTTTCAGAACTTGGACATTAACCAGAAATCTGCAATAATCCAGGGAGTTTTACTTAAGTTGCTGAACCCCAGCAACAATGTGAGTTCTGTGGCATTTTACTTGCCTTAGTCCCATCTCCCTATCCCTAACCCATGGTAGCCTTAAAAACAAATAGCCCTGGGGCTGTGGCTCAGTGGTAGAGCGCTTGCCTTGCACTTGTGAGGCCCTGGGTTTGATTCTCAGCACCACATAAAAATAAATAAACAACAACAAAAAAAATAGCCCCATAATTTCAACATCCTAGCAGGTTCTGATGAGTACAGAATAAGGCTGGAGCTCCTCCAAATCCAAACTCACAGGTAACTATCCTTAGTTTACCTTTCTAGAAGAAAACCCACTTGAAAGTGTAGTTTTTCATTTGCCCAGTGCAAATAGACTTTTTCCAGGGGGCTCAGCGGTAGAGCACTCACCTAGCATGTGCAAGGTGCTGGGTTCAATCCTCAGCACCACATAAAAATAAATAAATAAATAAAGGTATTGTGTCCAACTACAACTAAAAAAATATTTTTTAAAAAAACAATCAGTATATGATATGTCAAGAAATTTGTAATGTTTTGAACAACCCACAATAAAAAATTAAAATAAAAAAAATAAAAAAAAAAAAAACAATCAGTGGCGATTCTTTAACTTCATAACCATCTTAAGTAGTGATAACAGTTGGGTTGAACAAAAAAAAATTCAAAGGAAAAATGGGTAATGAGATGTCCATAGAGAGCTTTGAAAAGCTCCAACATACTCCTGGAAATCTAGAAAATCTATGTAAGTACAGGGCTGCACACATGCCCAGAGCTGTGTGCACACCCAAAAAAGCACTCAGAAAGCTCTGACCTTGCTGATCCCTAAGTAAAGAAAAGCCATGTGCCTTCAAGAACACAAACTTTACAGAATTAGTTCAGAAAAGTCATTAATCAAATAGCAACAACAGACCCAGGAAAGGGAATAGAATCTGATTCCCAGTGGCCAACGTTATATTATTTTACATGTATAGTTTTCAACAAAAAAAAAGTTATGAGACATGCAAGGAAATAAGAAAATGTACCATGAATGGGAAGAAAGTCAGTAGAAACACTCTTTAAGGAAGTCGAGAACCTGGCCTCATTAGATAAAAACTTTAAAATCACTATTTTAAATATATTCAAAAAACTAAAGGAAAATATGTCTAAAGAACTAAAAGAATTTGAAGCTGTGTGCAGTGGTGCACACCTGTAATCCCAGTAGGTCAAAAGGCTGAGGCATGAGGATCGCAAGTTCCAAGCCAGCCTCAGCAATTTATTGAAGCCCAGAGCATCTTATTGAGACCCTGTCTCAAAGTATAAATATAGGGGGGAAAAAAAAGAAGATCCAGGGATGTGGCTTAGTGCTTAAGCACCCCTGGGCTCAATCCCCATACCAAAAATAATAAATAAATATAATGTAATATAATAAAATATCAGCTAGGGATGTGGCCCAGTGATTAAGAGACTCTGGGTTCAATCCCTGGTACCTACACCTCACTCCCAAAAAAAGAAACTATGAGAATGATGTCTCAGCAAAAAGAAAATATCAATAAGAGAGAAATATATTTTTTTTAAAAAAAGGAGAACCAAATAGGCTTGGTATGTTGCTCAGTGGTTAAGTGCCCCTGAGTTCAATCCCCAATATCAAAAGAAAGAGAGAGAGAGAGAGAGAGAGAGAGAGAGAGAGAAATGAATTTCTGGAGTTAAAAAAATACAATAACTGAAATGAAAAATTCACTAGAGGGGCTCAAAATCAGTTTTGGGCAGGCAGAAGAAAGAATCAATGAACTTGAAGATAGATCAAATGAGATTATACAATTTGAGGGGGAAAAAAACACTGGGGAAAAGTTTCATGACATTAGGTTTGGCAATGATTTCTTGAACATAGCACATAAAAACACAAACAAAAGAAAAATAAACAAGTTGGACTTCCTCTAATTAAGTCTTTTGTGCATCAAAAGACACTCTCAACAAACTGAAAAGGCAACCTAGGGAATGGAGAAAATATGTGCAAATCTTTTGTCTGATAAGGGGTTAACAGCTAGAATATATAAAGAAGTATACTCAACAACAAAAACAACTCCATTCAAATATGAGCAAAAGATTTGAATAGACATTTCTCCAAAGAATATACACAGATGGTCAATAAGCACATGAAAAGATTCTCAACATAACCAAAAATCAGAGAAATGCACATTAAAACCACAAGAAGATACCACTTTATACCCATTAAGATGGCTACTATTTTTTTTAATAACACACAGAAAATAACAAGTATTGGAGAGATGTAGAAAAATTGGAACCTTCATACACTGGTGGTGGGAATGTGAAATGGTGCAGCTGCTATGGATAACAGTGTGTCGGGTCCTCAATAAATTAAACACTGAATTAGTATCTGATCCAGCAATTCTACTTCTGGGATATGCCCAGGAGAGCTGAAAGTAGAGATTCAGATATTTGAACATGAATGTTCAGAGA